AAAATAAAAATTCTTACAAATTAAATCAGACATACTCTTAAAAACATTTCTGAAAATATAATCCCTACTTCAACTTGTCACCAGTCAATTGGCATGTGAACTCACTCCTGTACGGCAACGGCGTATGGTGCCCACATAGGCATTTCTTCTTCTTCTTCTTTTCTTTTTTATAAGCACAATAATTATTATGTTAATATTATTAAATATTAGTAACTGAAGATTCAATTTTCAGATTGAATGAACAGCCCATCTACTTCCATGAAAAGCATAATCATCGAACCGCTTGGTTAAATCCTCACGTAAGCATATCTAACTAATTTACGTTTACGCTAGCCTTCCTGATTATAAGACGTTTAGGACAACTTGTCTGACATTTGGAGTTAATTAATAACCAGTGTTTGAAACTCATGATAAGGAAATCATATTCAAAGAGTTATAATTTAATTGTTAAAAAAAGTTTACTTTTTATACTTTATTAGTTAAGATCTGACTTTTTATAAAAATTAATCAAAAAATAATTTTTATATTTTTTATTCAATAAAAATTTAAATTTATCACATATAAATAATACAAAAAAATAAAAATTCTTACAAATTAAATCAGACATACTCTTAAAAACATTTCTGAAAATATAATCCCTACTTCAACTTGTCACCAGTCAATTGGCATATCTAACTCACTCCTGTACGGCAACGGCGTATGGTGCTCACACAGGCATATCTAACTAATATACGTTTACGCTAGCCTTCCTGATTATAAGACGTTTAGGAGACGTTTAGGACGAATTCCACCGTACCCGCTCACTGGTTGGGTTGCGTTCTTTAACGAGGAGGTGATGATCTTCACCTTCATTTTCATTTGAGAATCGAATTCTCAATTTTTAATAAATAATTAATTTAATTTACTAATTATTGTTTTTATTAAAAAAAAAAAAAAAAAGTTTACGACAACCTGTCTGACATTTGGAGTTAATTAATAACCAGTGTTTGAAACTCATGATAAGGAAATCATATTCAAAGAGTTATAATTTAATTGTTAAAAAGAGTCTACTTTTTATTTTATTTATTAAAATTTAATTTTGACATAAAT